AGATCTCATGACTTCTGTGGTCATCATGCCTTCCTCATATTAATGGACTGAGAACATAAGTTAGGAAATATCCTTTGCTAAGTTGTTCTGCCATCTGTTTGATCACAGCAATACAAAAGTAACTAATACAAATGCCAGGAGAGTTAAGCAGTACATGTGTACTGGGAACAGGTGAATTGCACATTTGAACTGAGGCAAGAATGATCATTGGCTCAGGATGGTCTTGCTCATGTGAAGATGCTGGGGATAAAATACACTAGTAGAAAATATCTTCGCTTTTCAAAAGGATGAGCTCAGTCTGAAGTCGAGCTATTTAAGAATAGTCTCTGATGATGCTAAGTGTGTAGTAGCAAGTAGCACAGTAAGTCAGCACCAGTTCAGAAGCACAGAAATGGATGCCATTCCATATAGTCTACAGTATTTGGTGAACTATATATATTCAACATATTATAAAACCATTGTTTTAGGTGATTTTGTTTAACTATAGACTAATAAAAATGATCTGAACATACTGAAGCTAGACTCAGCTTTGAAGTTTAGTAACGTGTATCAAATGTATTTTCAACCTATAATATACTTATTTAAGCTTGGATTTTTGGAAACATACCACCAAAGTAGAACAATTGTATTTACTGAAGAACAATGTTTTGTACAAAATACTATGCCTAAACAATAAACAGTAAGTTAAAACAAAACATGGATCTAGAAGATTGAGGTGACTCACAACAAGGCCAAATCTTATGATAAAAGTCACACAAATTCAGAGGTAGATGTCCCTCAGTGATTCAAATGAACAAAAACTAAAAAATTCTGTGCAAGTCTTTAAACTTGGAGAAACTGTATTTTTAAAACATGTAAAAGAACCGCACCTACCCTTATTAATTGTACTGAGTTCTAAAGGCTTAGGTTTCCTTTTATTCCGTTACTGCAGCCTTCCTGGTAAGAAATACTAATTATCAAAGACATAATTGTATTCACACCTACAGTGTAGCCAGGCATGTGTATACATGTCTAGTAGAAATGCAGTATGGGGGGACATTTTATGTTTAGTATCAAGTGATTCCTCTAAAACAAACAAATCCTTCAGAAATTTAAGACTAACTTTTAAGCATCGTGTAATGACTCAGGTGTATTATCCTTAAAATAGTGTGTAACATGAGGGCCGGCTTGTTGGGATATCTGTTCCCGCATAGTCCACAGCCGGCATATCCCAAAGAAATCACACAGATTCCTTAAGATTATAAACTGATTGGCCCATTAGGTCAGGCTTATAAGCTCCTATAACTTATGTTACCCCATTATCCTTATCTACATTAGCCACACGGCTCAGTACCTTTCTCAACTGTCAGCTTACATGCTGCCTCTTCAGTGGTCTGCGCAGGAGTGGCAGAGGGAGCATCCTGCTTCCCAGAATACTCCCAGTCTCTTTGCTCCACCTCTACTTCCTGTCTAGCTTTCCCACCTATACTGCCTGCCTGGCCAATCAGCATTTTATTAAAATACATGATTGACAGAATACAGACAATTCTCCAGCACCATTTTCCTCTTTTTTTTTAAAAAAAAAAAAAAAAAAACAATGGAAAATGCCCATAGTCCATTTCTTGGGAATGTGGGCATAGTATTTCAGGTTACTTCCTGCTGGTTGGGGGTGCTGATAATTTTATGGGGACCTAAAGAAAATTTAGAGTTATAGTTAAGTCGTGACTGGAGTATCCTGTGAGTCTTTATCATCTCAGGCAGCAGTCTTGAATTTGTTCTGGATGTAGAATTCAAACATCTGGGCCATCTGTTTTTACCGGAGATTGCTCAGGTGGTCTCCCTTGGTCAAAGATGATTTTTATTAACTCTGAATAAATCCAGAGCCTCTCATTTTCTGTGGAAACAAAAGCAAAATCTCTTCTCCAAAGTAACATACCTTTTGACTTCAATTTTGAAGCCAAGGTATTTTCAAAATATCTATCTTGGATTAATTCAGCAGCATTCATAAACAAAAGTCTTTTAGCAGCTGTTGCTCCTTTCTCAGCATTTAAACAATTTAAAGAGAGCACAACAGCATACAGTATCAAGATTCTCTGTTTATTTTCCATCTTTACATGGCTTTATTTTAACCTCTATTTCTTTTATTATTTTTTTTACCTTTGGCTTTTTGAGACAGGTTCTCTGTATATATCTTTGTCCTGGAATAACTCTGTAGACCAGGCTGTCCTTGAACTCACAGAGATCCCTCTGTCTCTGCCTCCCCAGTGCTGTGCTCAAAGGTGTATGCTACCACACCTTGAACTCAGAGATCTGTCTGTCTCTGCCTCCCAGGCATTGGGATTAAAGGTGTGTGCTACCACACCTTGAAGTCACAGAGGTCAACTACCCCTGCCCCTTAAAGTCTCAGAGTTCAATTTACCTCTGCCTCCTAGTGTTGGGATTAAAGGTGTGTACCACCACACCCAACTACTCTCTCTTTTTTTTTTTACTTTAAGAACTTTAACTTTTAGCCTGCATATATTTTTAACACACTGTAAACCATTTAGAGGTTTTCTTCCTCTTTGAATCTCTCTTTACTGTATATCTCTCTTTTTCTGACCACATGAGCCTTTAATTTACTAAGTAATATGGAGAGCCGTGGCTTTGATGGCTGGATACAGCCCATTCCTTAGATTTCCAGCCACCAGAGCTATTTTTATCGTCACAACTCCACAGTGTTTCAAGGTCCCTGCTAGCAAGAAAGCTGCAGCATTCTGTTCACAGACCACACTCAGTCAAACTGCCTGCCTGAAAGAGTCAGAGTTTGCCCTGGCAGGATGGCCCAGAAAGCCAGCACTTTAAAACAGCGCATCTTTTTTCCTGTTACAGCTGAAAAGCATTTGTTCAGCTTTTCATCAACACCGTTTAAGTGTTTCGCAGCAGGACCTCTTAAAGGAGCTACAATGTTTTGCAGCTAAAGCTGAGTCAGGAAGCATCTCTTAGATGAGAGCATTTGCTTGCCTCTAGCAAGCAAAGCAGACCCGAGAAATTGCTGCTACCAAGAAAACATGCTTTATTCTTTCCCAAGCTTTCTCAGGCTTTCTGTGGATGCAGTTATCCACATGGGCGCCATATGTAACATGAAGGTCAGCTTGTTGGGGTATCTGTCCCGCCCAGTACCCCACAGTCGGCAAGTTCCAAAGAAAATCACACGGAGTCTACATTAGGTTATAAACTGACTGGCCCATTAGGTCAGGCTTCTTATGAGCTCTTATAACTTATGTTACCCCAATAGTGAATTATAGGTCAACCTGAGTTCAGAGTAAGGTACTGTCTCAAAAAACAAACAGTTAAAAAGAAAAGTGATTTTAATGAGAAAACACATGATCACTTATAGTTTATGACCCAATTTAGAAGCATAACTCATTACATATTAGTTCACAAAAGGTAAGGACCCTGTAGTCTCTGGTAAAAAGGCACTTAACCTAGCATGTGTCTTTTGGTATGAGTAAAGTACAAAGGACAAAGTAAAAGTTACAACACAAGTCTGAAGTAAAATTAACACATGGATAAAGGTGACATTACTTTAAGCACAGGATAATAATTTGACATTAAGGGAAAATACTGGCATATATTCTACCTAATATATGATTATGGTAGGATATTTGCAGGTATCTTTTGATTTGATAATCTGAAAACTGACCAAAAAATAGTTGAGAACCCTAGTGTGCAAATTTTCAAGAAAACACATATTAAAATACAAAAACACAAAATGTAAAATTACATCTGACCTGAGAAGTAACCAACTGGACTGCACTGAGATGTTACGGTAAAATAGCACAACTATGCTCTGTCATTTCCAGAAACGACTAGATCACCAGGGCTTTCCCCTAGTCAAAGGAGTAACTGGGAGTGGTGAAACGGATGAGGTATGGCATAACTGGCAGAAGCAGGTCACTGAGAATGCGTGTCCTTCTTATATTTTCAACTGATCCCTTAAAATGCACACTATTTACTTCTGTGGGCACAATGATAGACACTCTTCTACTTAATGATTTCTCTGCCATAATGGACTATGAGTCAAAATAAGGAAAAGAATAGATAAGATACAGCATAAATATCAAAGAGTCAGGCATGGTGGTGCATGCCTTTAATACCAGCATTGGGGAGGCAGAGGCAGGTAGGTCTCTGAGTTAGATGCCAGCCTGGTCTAAACAGTGAGTTCTAGGACAGCCAGGGCGACACAGAGAAACCTTGTTCCAAAAAATAAAAACAAAAAAAACCCTAAAACCCCAACAAAATAAAACAAGACAAAAAACATCAAAGAAGCTGCTACCTGATCTCAATAGAGAAATTCTACAAATAAACTTCATTTCAACAGTTCATTAATATTACTCTAAAATATATTAGGAACACATTGTGTTACATATGAATCCAATATGAAAATATACATGACTTGGCTAAAAAGAGACTACCTTTTAAATTCATGACTCACTGTTTAAAGAAACCTTAGAGATGAAGTCATCTGAAAATTTATTTACAGAATAAAAAATAGAAGTAAACATTCCAGAGACTTATTTTCTCAATTATTGACCAATTAATGCAATATTCTTTCTCAAAACTTATTCACAAGAATCTTAAAAAGATGGATGGAGATAGAGACAGAGACCCACATTGGAGCACTGGACTGAGTTCCCAAGGTCCAAATGAGGAGCTGAAGGAAGGAGAACATGAGCAAGGAAGTCAGGACCACGAGGGGTGCACCCACCGAGATGATGAGGCTGATCTAATGGGAGCTACCAAGGCCAGCTGGACTGGGACGGATGGAGCATGTGGTCAAACTGGACTCTCTGAACCTGGCTGACAAGAAGGGTTGACTGAGAAGCCAAGGACAATGGCATTGGGTTTTGATTCTACTGCATGTACTGGCTATGTGGGAGCCTAGTCTGTTTGGATGCTCACCTTCCTAGACCTGGATGGAGCGGGGAGGACCTTGGACTTCCCACAGGGCAGGGAACCCTGACTGCTCTTTGAACTGGAGAGGGAGGGGGAGGGGAAATGAGGGAAGGGAGAGGGAAGTGGGAGGAGGTGAAAATTTTTAATAAAAAAATAAAAATAAAAAAATCTTAAAAAAATTATGAATTCTAATACATAAGGAATTTTCACAAAATCCTGAAAATTGTTTCATCACCGATAACTTTGTTATACAAGTTTGGATACTGGGTAAATTTTCAGAGGTCCACCAACTGAAGACATCTGCACATCTATTTAAGATTTCTCACTATAGTATGAACTAGCATGTCTGTAAATACAGCCAACATGACTAAAGGCATTCCTTCAGACAACATGACACTGGTTCTCTGCTCTATGCATTGCCGTGTTAAGAATAATTTCCCATGTTCTACACTTAGGAATTCCTTCTAGTGTGAGTCTTCTCATGTATTTTAAGGGAGCTGGAACGAGTAAAGGCTTTCCCACATTGCTTGCAAATGTAAGGTTTCTCACCAGTGTGAATTTGTTCATGTCTTTGACAATCACTTAAAGTATAAAAGGATTTCCCACACTGTTTACATACAAAAGGTTTCTCTCCACTGTGAATCCTTTCATGACGTCGAAGGGAACTATGACCGGTAAAGGCTTTCACACATTGTTTACACTTATATGGTTTCTCTCCAGTGTGAATTCGTTCATGTATTCTAAACTTACTAAAAGAAATAAAACCCTTCCCACACTGCTCACATACATAGGGCTTTTCACCACTGTGAATCCTTTCATGATTTCGAAGGGCACTGGGATTAGTGAAAGCTTTCCCACAATTCTTACAGACATAGGGTTTCTCACCAGTATGAATTTGTTCATGTCTTTGACAACCACTCAAAGAAGAGAAACCTTTTCCACAATGCTTACATACGTAGGGTTTTTCCCCACTGTGAATTCTTTCATGTCTTCGAAGTGAACTATGATCAGTAAAGGCTTTACCACATACTTTACATACACAGAGTTTCTCCCCAGAATGAGTTGATTCATGTTTTCGGAAGTTACTGGAAGAAATAAAGCCTTTCCCACACTGCTTACATACATAGGGTTTTTCCCCACAGTGAATCCTTTCATGGCATCGAAGGGAGGTGTGCCGAGTGAAGGCTTTTCCACACTGCTTACATACATAGGGTTTTTCCCCACTATGAATCCTCTCATGGTATCGAAGGGAACTGTCAACACTAAAGACTTTCCCACACTGCTTACATTTATAGGGCTTCTCTCCAGTGTGAGTCCTTTCGTGTATTCGAAGGGTACTGGAAGAATTGAAACCTTTTCCACATTGCAAACATACATGGGGCTTCTCACCACTGTGAATCCTCTCGTGATATCGAAGAGAACTGAGAGTAGTAAAGGCTTTATCACACAGCTTGCATACATAGGGCTTTTCTCCAGTGTGACATCGTTTATGTGTCTGAATAGAATTGTAATAACTGAAGGCTTTCCCACACTGCTTACAGACATAGGGTTTCTCTCCAGTATGACATCGTTTATGTGTCTGAAAAGAATAGTAGTAAGTGAAAGCCTTCCCACATTGTGTACACACATAAGGTTTTTCTCCAGTGTGAGTTCTTTCATGGTCTTGAAAGTTAGTCAAATAACTGAAAGCCTTACCACATATATTGCATCTGTATGGTTTTTCTCCAGTATGAGTACGTTCATGTCTTCGAATGTTACTCAGAAAAGAAAAGGATTTCCCACATTGTGTACACAAATAGGGTTTCTCTCCAGTGTGAGTTCTTTCATGTTCTTGAAAGTTAGTTAAACAAGTGAAGGTTTTATCACATATATTACATTTGTATGGTTTCTCTCCAGTGTGAGTTCGTTCATGTCTTCTAATGTTACTCAAAAAAGAAAAGGTTTTCCCACATTGTTTACATACATAGGGTTTCTTTCCAGTGTGGATCTTTTCAACATACTGAAGAAAATCAGGATAAGTAAAGGCATTATAATCCTGCTTATCCATACATATTTCTTCTCTAGTTTCATTATTCACACGTATTTGAATGCAACCATTACTTTTGAAGATTTTCTCACACTGGTTAAATTCATAGGAGCTCTGTCTAGTGTCAGTGTCTTCATGCTTCAGAAAGCATTCTGGATAAATGAAGGCTTTCTTACATTCCCCAAACTTAAAGAGACTCTCTCCACATAGCTCGTATTGATAAGGTTTGTGTGTAGTCTGAAGAGGCATAGACACATTAAGAGCTGAATGACCAATGAGCATGTTGTCTTCATACACATGACTTTCACAAATCATTGTTCTATGAGAAATTTTCTTGTTCACAATGGTGTTGGGAATCTGTCTGAAGATTTCTTCACATTCACTATCTTTGTTATGTTCCAACAGACTTTCTACAACTTCATTTCTGTAAAAACAAAAAAAAAAAGGAAAATATACCAATAAAGTTATAAATTCCCTACCAGCAGAATTCCTGAGAATTTCTGAATATGACTGAAGATTCTACAGCATGTAGAGACAGGTAATATCAAGACACTGTATTTATATAGGGTTTCTTTTTGTGTTAACATTTATTTACTATTTGTGTGTGCACATGCTATGATGTGCATAAGAAAGTCAGAGGACAGCTTGTAAGAGTTGATTCTCTTCTTCTATTATATAGGTGTCAGAGATTGAACTTGGGTCATCAGGCTTGGTAGTGAATACCTTTACCTGATGAGTCATTTCCCTAGCCCAATCATATGGGACTTCTTAATACCTCTCATAGGTTAATTAGTTTGGAAACAATGAATATCTAGGTCTTATTTAGTTTTAAGGTTAATCTCTTGCTACGATGCATGGGCTACCTTCAAATTCGGCACTCCTTCAGACTCCTAATAGCTGGGAATGAGGGCATGAATGATCATATTTGCTTCTATATCACAGGTAAATGTACTTGATTATTCTTTATGCAAAATGCTTAAGCAAAAACTATTCTTTATCTAATTTTTTTCATATATACCTTTAAGATTGTTCATTCCCAGAGTAAATATAAAATTTCTTTATGTTTTATATATACTCCATATTCAAAGTCTCAAGAAAGATACAAACACTATTTTTTTATTAACTTTGTTGCTTGGACAAAAGTTTGTATGTACAAAACAATTAGAAAGTACCACTTACTTGCATCATCATGGCAATACTGTAAATACTTCTAATCCTATATGTACTTTTGGAGATAAATGCTTTTGATTACATCACCTTGAAGCTATCAGGAAAACTAGCCAAAAAAGCTGACTTGATTTTAAAAACTACTGGCCATTTCCAGATTATGAGACACGTTATCATGAGTTGGCAAAATTACCTTTGATTTCTTCTGGAATATCTGTGGTCATTGTCTATGTGCTGGTCTTCTTGTGTTTTTCCTAGAATACAGACCCAGGGAAATCTGATTTACTTAGTTATAATAGAAAAACAATACTAGATTCTATATATAACATGACCATGTCTGAAATAGCCACTAAATTTGCCCTTTCCATATTCTAAATCATGGAGCAACATTTTTGAGCAAGACTTATAATCTGATTGACTAAGTAAAAGAATGAGTATGACCTCATTCATACCTATGGCAGCCAGGTTCCTGAAGGTTTCCTCCATCACATCTCTGTGCAGCTTCTTTTGGGAAGGATCTAGTAAAGCCCACTCCTCCACAGTGAAGTTTACAGCCACATCTTCAAAGGTCACAGAGCCCTAAAATAGCCAAGATATTTCCAGAAGAAAAGATAAGACACACAGCATTGAAAATCTGTGAGTGTTCTCTAAATGTTCAATACATATCCTGACCCATCATATTTTTATTTTTACATTCATAACTCTACTCTCTCACATCAGCTTTGAATTCTTGGTAAAGCACAATAACAAAATACCAAGTATGTTGCTGGAGATGACACTTTCTACTGGTGTGCAGGCCTTTATCATTCCCCAACACTACTACTAGTGCAGACATGTGTTAACAAGCAGCTGCTTTAAAATCACATATTTTAAGAATAGATTATGAGGGTGAGTGGCCTCCTCCAATACTAGTTGCCATAAATGTTCTGCCTCATTGTAGATCTAAAGCAATGCAGCTAAGTGACAAGATTGAATTATCTGAACCTTGCCATAAAACAAGCCTTTTAAAAAGTATAAGTTACTTTTCTCATCATGTGACTAAATAGTAATGCATGAAAGATTTATTTTGAATCATGTCTTGAGAGTGTAGAATCTATCGTGGGGTTGGGGGCGGACATAGCAGAATTCATGGGGACAGGATCATGCAGCACGGACTCCACATCAGAGAACTGGAAACAAAGCAGGGAATGTTGGTTTCTACTTAAATTATTCCTTTTCCCTCTTTTATTTGTCTAGCATCTCAGACTTTGGTTATGTGTAATGGTTAGTGATGAATAACCAGGCAGATGGGCATCTGGGTACACCTGAGAGATTTATCTTGATTATGCTAACTCATGTGAGATAATCTATTTTAACTGTGGGTGAGGTCATCCGCTGGCCATGAGATCCTTGACTGTATAAAATGGAGAAGGTGAGCTGAACACTAGCATGCATTCATTACTTTCTTCTTCTGACTTCAGATGTAATATGACCAGCTGCTTCAAGTTCCTGCTCCCTTGGCTTCCCTATCAGGATGAATTATGTTTTGAACTGTGAATTAAACCTTTCCTGTCTTAAATTGCATTTGTCATTTATCATAACAACTCAAAAAAAAAGTAAGATAGATGCTACCTAGATTTAGAGTGGGTGTTCCCTGCTCAGTTACCTTTCTGCAAACACTTTCATGGATGTACCCAGGGCGTGTTTCCTAGGTAATTCCAAATTATGTCAACAAGAAGACTAATCATTACAAAAACCTTCAATTGCTTTTCTTAGGTACACTGTATACTAATGCAAAGATAACTAACATACCCCATTATTCAAGATAACATTAACAAACTGATTAAGAATAGATCATTGGTTCCTAGCCCAATTGTCATCAGGCTTTCTCTGGCAGCTGATGGGAACAGAGGCAGAGACCTACAGCCAAACATTAGGCAGAAATTGGGTGGGGAAGGAAAGACTTCAGGAACCAGAGGGGTTGAAGACACCAGGAGAACATGACCCACAGAATCAACTAAGCAGATCTCATAGGGGCTCACAGAGACTTAAGTGACAATCACATGAGCCTGCATGGGTCTGCGCTAGGTATTCTGTACAAATGTTATGGTTGTTAGCTTGGTGTTTTTGTGGGACTCCTAACAGTGGGAGCATGTATGTCTCTGACTTTTTTGCTTGCTCTTGGGACTCCTTTTCTCCTACTGGGTTGCCTCAACCAGTCTTGATATGAAAGTTTGTTCCTAGTTTTATTGCATCTTGCTATGTTGTGTTGGCTGATATTTCTGGAAGGCCTGCTCTTGTCTGAAGGGAAATGGAGGAGGAAATGGATCTGGGGAAGAGAAGATGTGGGGGGAGGCTAGAAGTGGAGGGAAGAAAAACTGATAGGGATATATTATATAAAATAATAAGAAGAAGAAGGAGCAGGAGGAGGAGGAGGAGGAGAAAGAGGAGGAGGAAGAGGAGGAAGAAGAGGAGGAGGAAGAGGAGGAGGAGGAGGAGGAAGAGGAGGAGGAGGAGAAGGATGTTAGTGGAAAAGTCTAGGCGATGGCTCAATATATAAAGCACTTGCTGTGTAAGCCTGAGTTTGAACTCCCAGAACTCAGATAAAGCCAGATATGGTAAGGTATATTTGTAACTTCACTGTGGAATACTGTGAAATCAAAACTAAGTTAAATATTTTCTTACTGGAAACAGGAAGAATCAAGGCATAGTTATACTAAAATCAAAGCAAAGAACCTTATAGTTCAGTGTCAAAGTTCTAAGAACTCCTATGGCAAGCCGGAGTAGAGACAGGAGAATTCCTGGAAGCTGGGGGCCAGTTAACCTGGCATATGCAGTAGTGAACAACATAGACTGTCATCTGATTTCTAAACACAACTGTATGTGCGAGAGTGCACCTGATGTACACATGTATACACACACACACACACACACACACACACACACACACACATACACACACAGAGAGAGAGAAATGGATCACGGAAAAAGTAACAGTATTTAACTGGCCCAAATGAAAACAAAAAGTTGGTTTATCACATAGCAGGCATTTAACAACAATGGCATAAACCACAATCTCTTTAATATAGAATAAAAGAAAAACTGACTTTTGGAAACATGCATTGCATTTCCCCTTTTTATAAGCAGGTATCAAGCTATTCATTGAAATAGGAAAAAACAATATTTTGAGATCATAGTCCAGTTTTGAGTTTAAGACTGTAAGAAATGGATGGAGACATTTAAACCTATGGCTTTTGGGTTAGGCTTTGAGATAGGAGGGCAGGGATAGTTAGCCCCAGTTTGATTTTGTACAGGATGAAAACAAGGCAACAGATGAAAGCGAGTGATTGTAGGTGATAGCCCAGAAAAAGCAAACGTGGTGGCTTAAGAGAGTATGGAGAAAAACAAAGCAGGAGAAGCAGAAACCCAAAGCACTGTGACTTGTGGAGGGAGAGGATCCTCTTTGTATGGGTTAGGTAAAACAGAAAACTACAGTCTGGAGAAGAAAGATGCAGGCTTGTAAAGAGCACACATAGTTGATTGACAGGGAACAATGAATCAAAATGACATTACAATCCTAAGCATATGCAAAGACTCTGCCGCTCCTAATTTTATAAAAAGCATACCAGAGGCTGGTTCCAGAACCCACATGGTGGCTCACAATCACCCATAACTCTAGTTGCAGGGGACCTACAGTTTCAAGGAATGCCCTCTTCTGACCTCCACAGGCATCAGACATGCATGTGGTGCATACATGTTAGCAAGATACTCATACATATATAGTAAATATATCCAAAAAAGCATACTATTGAAATTAAAGACAGATTAACACTAATCCAATACTATTAGGTGGCTTTAATGTTCCACGGTCTCCAATAGACAGGTCATTTGGACAAGAAATAGAAACATCAGAATCAGGAGTTAGAGTTTATGTCAAATGAATGTAACAGATATCTATAGAATATTCTGCCCAACTATCAAAGAATATATATTCTACTCAGTAGCCCATGGAAACTTCTCCAAAATAGATTATATCCTGGGGCACAAAACAAATCTCAACAAATTCTGAACGACTGAAATAACCTCATGTATCCTACCAGACCACGATGCAATAAAACTTAAAATCAAGAGTAAGCAAATCTTTAGTGTGTACCCAAAGTCAGAGACTAAACAACTCATTATTGAAGGGTGTGAATAGGCTAAAGAGGAAATCAAGAAAGAAATCAAAATTACTGGAACTAAATCAAAGTGAAAACACAAAACCTATGAGACACATTAAAAACAAAACAAAAAACAACAAAACAAAACATACAACAGTCCCGCTAAGGGAGCTTACTGTTTCACTTACAGTTCACAGGGGAACCCAGACTCAGGTTAAGCCTGTCTCTGTGTGAGACCATCTCACCACACAGGCACAGCTCATGCATGATACATCTGATCCCAACTGACATGAATGGTCCAAGTTTTACCTGCTGTACGCGTGTACCTCAAAGATGTCTGTGCCCTACCCGTCCACAGGCATTGAACACGCAAGAGCTCAGGTCCTCTAGAGCTTTCATTTTATGCTTGGGATCCTGTTGGTCTCATCACTCCAGATACTGAGTAGAGAAACTCTGAGTGGCCAAGACATTTGGGGATCTCCACACACGTTATTTTCCTTCCTCCCATTCCTTTTCGGGGAAACAGCACCGACTACAGGCCGTTCATCTCACAGTGCCTTCTCTTTCTTGAGGACCATTTCTCCTGATGACATTTAAAATACCTATCCATTTTTTAACCTATTACTCAGCAGGATACAAACTACCCAGAGACCCACTTTTGTCTAAAACAACCTCATCAGTAATTACAAAATACTTCTGTAATGTAATGTTTCCAAGTTTCTCTCGTTTTCCCCAATCTTGTCACTTTCTTATTCACCCTCATCATGAACTAGAACCGGGACCTTTAACTTATCATTCAAAGAAGAGTCTGACCTCAGAGGAAACGATTTCAGAGCTGAAGCTGCTACAGTCACGTCGTCTCAAAAATTGTCGTCCGTCCCTAAAAACCAAAATGCCTTTTCTGCCCAACCCCGAGATGCTTGCACATATTATACCTGAGGCTTCCCCGCTATTGCCAATACTCGCTTGAAATAAAAGTCATGTCCCACCTCGCCTCCATCCTACTTTAAATCAATGTCCACAAGCAGTTCTGAGGCAAAAACGTTCACCGCGTCAAGGAGGACCTCGATTTCCCTCTTCCACTCCGGTCCCAGCTACGTGTATGCGGGTAACTCCTTTGAACGAGTCTGCCAAGCAGTAAATACCGAGACATTTAGGGACGTTGAGGCCTAAATGGATGGGGCGGGGGCAAAGTCGTGGATTTCAGACGCTGCTTCTAAGACCCTCAGGGATTCTCAGGACGCCGGGCACCCGCAGGTCCCCTCCCCCACAGCCGGGGTCCCGTCACCCCGGGAGCTCCTGGCAGTCCTGCCCGCCCGCCACTCGGCGCTCACCATGCCTGCGCCCGGGCCTCCAGCGGCCAC